GTCAGCCTTGCGATAGTCTTAGGGATTTTTCCCCAGGGCGCTGTGTTTTTCAGAGTGCTCGACTGATCGACTAAGACGAGAGTTGAAACGTATTTCGTTGTGTGTGTCTTATTTGACTGTAAAGCTTAAGTGACTTTCCTGATCCCGTCCCTCAAGGGGACGCGATAGAGAGACGAGACGAGATTCCCCCTGGCAAGTGTGGAGACCCCCGAGGCCGAAGAATTCCCCCCTGATAATTGCCTGGACTCTTATTTTCTTTCATTAAGGGCAGTATATTATAAACCTCTCCCATTTTCAATTTTCCTCGCATAAATTTTGGGATTCATCTGACAGCTCTAAATTCTGTAAAAATTGCTCACCCTTTATATAATTTAGATTTTGTATTTTGTAGAGATTTGAATAAAAGGCTTTGATTTTATTTCAAATTTCCGTAGTTGGCTCGTCTCATCAAATTCACTCATTTTTATTTTTTATACTAGACTTTCTTTTTTTTTGTCTTCTCCAAACTCAAAAAATATTTATTATTCTTTTCCCCTTTCTCTTACCATGTTGCTCTTGACCTTATTATTGCGCCCTCAGTTATATAATTATAATGCTCGTTCATTTGTTTATTTAATTCCTCTAGAGCTGTATATGTATTGTCATTAGGATTAGCTGAACAAGCTTCCTGTGCTAGCTGTATTCTGTTCTCTAACATTTTTACGTTTTCTTTACTATATTTAATAGCGACAATTCGAATTATATATTTTATCATATCCTACAGCAATCTTAAATCTCTTCAAGTTCTGCTGTCCATTCATTTGTTTTATCCTTTAATAATTTTCTGTAATTCTTGGTTCTCACTAGGAACGAGTTGAAATGCCAGTAGGCTGTGCCCTGATTTTGATTCTTGTCATATAAACTCAGTATTAACGTCGAGTGGTCTGACCCAAGCCCGGGTATTATTTCTACTTTTTGTGTGCTACTCTGTAATGAATCTGATATTATAAAGTAATCCAACCTACTTTGCTGAATGGATGGACGTCTACGACGCCAAGTGAATTGTGTTTTGTCTTCATTTCTTAGCCGCCAAATATCCACTAATTCAAATTGTTCCAAATATCACTGAATAATCTAATGGATAACTTCCATGGCTTTGGGTTGCCCCCTGATCTGTCTAAATCATTATTATCTGTGAAGTTTAAATCCCCTCCGCACATAACCATACTATAAGGACCTATGTTCAAGTCGACTAATCTATTCCTTAAATTCAGCATAACTTTTTTATTTTATAATTCTTTATTATGTGCATATGCATTAATCAATATCACTGGGACTAATTTCTGCTTCCATAATCAAAATTCTACATCTTTCCTGTCTAACATTTTTTACATCCAGATCTGTGAATCTCTTGCAAAAAAGGCACATCAATCTTTTTTCTATTGATCCAATTTGCAACCCTTTTACTGTTTTTAAAGTCCCTCATTCCTCTTGTGTTAAATGAAACACTGATATTTTTAATTCCATACTGAGATTGGCTTTCATTAAATTTCGCCCTATTTCCTGTACCCATTTTTTTAAAACAAATAACATCAACAATAACAACAATAACACTGATGCAAAACATTGCACTCACTTTTAGATGCATACTGAATATAGAAATATAGATTAGGTACTGCGTCCCTGGACGGCTCTCGTTCAAGTTTAAACATCATCCCTGCCATAGAATTGTCATAAAATTCAACTTAAATTAAAACAAATTAACACTTTTGTTTTCCAAAGTCCCACACAACTACTCAGTCCGTCATCCCAGATCTTTCAATATGGCCGATTTCCTCTTTCCATCCTTTCCTTCAACCATGATTGTCGCTGGTACCCTCCATGCAATATACGTCTTTTTTCTTGGGTTCTCCTGATTGTATTCCTTACGAAATTGCAGCAGTCTCTTCCTTTCTGTTATGACTCCTTGGCTCACATCGTCAGTTATGAAAATGTTCTGACCATGAAATTTGTTTTCCTTGGGCGTTGCCGGACCTGTAAATTCATGAACTAGAGTTTAATCAGTTATCCCGGACATAAAGAAAAGAATGGAGGTCGCTGCAAATATCAATGTAGTACACAACTGCCGATACTGGCTCTATCAATTACACTTTCCCCACGCTTTGTAAGGAGTAATAATGTCATCATACCATACAGATTTGTTTAGGATAACTTTGGGTTCCCTTCTGTACTCAGAAAATCAAAAAATCTTTCATTCGGTTCAAGTTGTTATTGCTTCTTTAACGAATACGCCACCTGTCCACATACTCCCGATAGTTTAATTCAATTATCTCATCTCGTCTCTCTATCTCGTCCCCTTGAGGTACGGGATCGGGAATGTCACTTTAACTTTACAGTCAAATAAGGCACACACAACGAAATACGTTTCAGCTCTCGTCTTAGTCGGTCAATCGAGCACTCTATAAGACACAGCGCCCTGGGGAAAAGTCCCCAAGACTCTCACAAGGCTGAACCAAGACTCGCCCAAGACTGGACTGCCTCAAGGCTCGCCCCTGGACTGGACTCTCTCTCAGACTGGACTCCCTCTCAGACTGGACTCGACTGCCCAAGGCTGTGTCTGTCGTGGAGTATTCGCCAAGACCAACTCAAACTCTCTTTATTCATTTTCACAACTCTAACCAATTACAAAGCAGTAAAAAGACTCTAGGGCGTAACCTTCAATCATAAAGCCAATCACATAAGTACTGAATACGTCATATCTTTTGATTAATCGTTCACTACATTAATAACTATGAATATAAACTGTCAAAATCGCGACGGTTATCTGGTAATTAGTTCCAAATCACTGAGCCAAGTTCCGTCCAAAACTTCAAATAGGCCTACACGATGACAGACATAACACAGCAATTCGCTAATAATCAGTTAATTAAGTCGGTCAACAGATACGCGAAAACAAATTCATGACACAATCATGAATGAGCGTGCGCACGACGCAGATTATTAGTTACTTGAACACGCAGCATGCATTAATGTTCATCGTCGTTTACGAAAGGTATCTCAAAATATTTGCAAAGAAGTAGCAAACTAATTTAATGTTCATTATTTGTTTTCATATTGTATTTATTGTAATAATTAAATTTCTACAACAGTTGAATAGTTATTTATTATTACAGGAATGGAGGAGCTCGTTTAAATTAGTCGCAGATTCGCACATGTTCGTGGTAATCATCATATTGGAATTCAACACCGAGGCTCCGCCAATAGAATAACAGTTGTAAAGAAATTGAATCTAATGATTAGAAAGATCACAGAAAATGATTGCCTGTTCAGCGCAGCGTCATCCAGCTTACTAACTCAAACATTGATAACAACACTGTGCATGTTTAATTCCATCGGTTATGATTCCATTTACATAATTTACATTAATTTATCACTACTTGTACAGTATGACTTGCAGACAAATTTGACGTGTGTGAGCATTTTTTCCCAATAAATATGCTGCATACAGTCGATAATAAGTATTGTGTCTATTATAGATGCATACCGTAGACGGCATACAAAAGTGTCATGTATATAATCGGGTGTTTTACCTTGAAACATTGCATGTGTGTTTGTTTTCTGAAGTGCCTCAAAATAAAACAGTTTCAAAGAAAAGTGCTTTAGTTACTCTTATGACCGTTTGTACATGTCGTCTACATAAACACTTATAAAACATGCATTGCCGAGTGTTTTACCTTGAAACATTACATGTGTGTTTGTTTTCGGATGTGCTTCAACATAAAACAATTTGTAAGGAAAGTGTTTTAGTTACACTGATGAAATTATGTACATGTCGTGTACATAAACACATGTGAAACATGCATAGTCAAGTGTTTTACCTTGAAACATTACATGTGTGTTTGTGTTAGAAAGTGAGAATGTTCAGATGTGATTGGACTACAACGACCATTCACCAAATGCGGATTAACAAAAATTAGCTTCTAAACCATGCTTCTGTTTCCTGTCAAAATTGGTTTATTGGTACATCTGTTTACTGTGAAGAAAGTGCCGTCTTGAACACTGTCTACCAGTTGTCGATTTTGCAGGGCAGCAGCTCACATTTCACTACTTCAAATCTATGTAACACTGTTCAACCAAAAACAATGCCCCGACGGCGTTTTGAAGATAAACACATTTGAGAAAATATCAAAAGGTCAAAGCGTCTGCACTAAAAAAAAAGCTGAGATAATTGCTAATTTGCATAACAATTCACTCAGTAAAAAGTTTGCTAATTTAAATGTATTATTGTTTTGTTAAAAGTTAAATATAGAGCATAATATGGAGATCCCGTCATTTCTTTTTTCACCATGTTTCTTTTTTATTACTTATGTACAGCCTTGCTAGATTTTGCTAGCCATTCAACAGAGAGAATGTTTGCACCTGTTATCTATATTTTAAAGGCGTTTTTTTGAGTATGTTCCACTATTCACAATTCTACAAAATTTTAACAGTCTGTTTGGATAATAAAAAGCAAAAAAAATCACTCCCAAGTGCCCACGAACCTGCATCTCTACCTTAATAACTTCCTAAAACACTTTTCTGAAAATACTAAAACACTACTGTTTTGATACAGGTGTTTTATAAACACACGTTTTTAATTACAACAGTGTATGTGTTCTCAATTAAAACGGTGTGTTTTAATGAAAAACATGAAAGTGCTTCCAAGATTTACAGTGTGTCTATATTGTTGTCATGCAGCCCGACGTTTTTGTAAAAAGAAAAAACATATATATATATTTTACAGGCGTTGGATACGTCACACTGAACAATATAACTTTAGTATTAATGCCAAGAATTTTCGAGATAAATGACGTTAACGAAAGAGATCAGACCAAAACAAGTATAACTCGAGAGTGAGTGTGTCCTATAACTCAAAGTATATCAGTCCTCTTGATGAAAACGACATACAAGCCATAAATGCCACACTGCTACAAGTTTTTTTGATGAAAAATGTAAGATCAAGTGATCGCTAAATTATAAAATCATTTCTTAAAGATATTAAAGTTGTATTTGTCTACTGCAAAGGTTTTAGTATCGGGGTATGTCTTAGACATTGGGGTTGTTCCAAGCAGTATCTTGTGTCGCTTGAAGGCGATACTGTCTCTAAACATGGCGTCAGTGCCATGTAACCGATCCAGTATTCCAGTAGATCCATAGTTGGCGATGAATCTAGGAAACAAATATATTGAGAATAATTGAGTGTGTTTTTATCTTCACATTTCATTGCATTGTGTCACGTCAGTTCATATTCAATCACATCACATCACATCACATCACATCACATTACATCATATCGCGTCGTATTGTATATCACATTACATGGATCGAATCACATTTCGATCAAATCGCAAACACCAGATGACATAGATCTTGTATATCAACTGTGAAAACAAAATTACTCACTTTGAATGGTGGAAGTCGTGATTTTCAGGTGATCTACTAATCGGGAAATGATAACCACTATGACCCAAAATAGTGCTATACATTGCAATCACTAACCACAGCCAATGTACAATGAGATGAGATCCCATCACGATGGGTCCACCAATCACAGATATTATGTTTGAAAACACAAATTCGATTGGATGAGCGTAGATGCACGTTAGACCAATGGGAGCCGTCCATTCATGGTGGAGTTTGTGTACATGTTTATACATGAATGAATGATGCAATGCCCTTGTAAAGAAACATTATTGTTATAAGATAAAGATAATCAATGGGTCGCAGCAACGAAATATACAATGCAAACAGTGACGTGAAATATACACTGCACCAAGGACGTGAACTGTTATCATGATCGATTAATGGTCGATTAACTGCACCAATAGAAAAGTGTGCTCACCTGTGTGAGTAGTAAAATGTGACTTCAGCAAAGATCAGACAACCGAGTAAATCATAAAGTATTCTTTCGCCGCTGGGCAAGTCACTACTGCTGATACTGCACCCACGCCACATGGCGCTCACGTAGTACATCCACATCATCAGAGGGGCGTAAAACAGTTGGTTGAGAAGTACCACCTTGAATAACTTCTTGAGTTTAGCAACTTCGATCTAGTAGAGATATGACATCAACGAAATCTTGAGTTATATAATTCAGACATATTATATTGTTCAGGATAAACAAAGTCAATCCATACATAATTACTTTATTTTTAAACTTAAGGCGTATTTCAAGTTCATAGCGATATACATATTTCCATCATAGCTTTAGAATGAATCTCTTTATTGCGTTTTTTTCTAATAAATGATTCCTTAAAAGCAAGATGTCGCAACCAAATATTTGTTTGTCATTTTACATAGAATATCCAAATAAATGATAAAAACAATAAGTCATTTTTCATTTGTATAAGAATTCCTTAAATGGTATCCACAGAAGAATTATTGAACTTTTCTTATATCGCGGCTATAGCGACCAGGTTTAAGTAATTCAACTTGAAATCGCACTTTATGGTTCATATGGTTAGAGTGGTCTGCGCATTTTTTTTCGATAATTAGAATGAACGGAGTACTTTATTATTCGTATATAGACATGATTTTAAGATATATAGAATACATGTTCGATTTTGATTAACAATGATTTGAATAGATCTTGTTATTTGAGAATAAACCAGTGATTGAGTGTTATTTTTTCTTCTCGATCTATGACTCGTGACTTAAAACAATTTGTATTGACTTTCATATGGCGGAACAAGCCTACGTAGCGGACCAAGTAGCAGATCGATGTTTGTTCACGGAGCTAATCGATTGTATACTAGTATATAAGCTGCCATAGGTCACGTGCTTTTGGGTGTGACGAATATAATCCCCCATTTTGAACACATTGTATGTTTGCAAATTATGACATACTTGTATTTGAAAGGGGAAGTCAAACAACACAAAAAAAAACAAGACAAAGCTCCACAAATGTAGGAGAATGCTATTTACAGTTTTTTTTATATCACTTTCATTCTCTAGATATTCAATTTTTCATCAATTTATGTAGACCGCCATCTTGATTCTTCAGCAAAGGATTATGGGTGACGTATGACATCATAGAGTCTGTTGTCAGAAATTGAAAAAATGATCGAGAAAGCGATATAAACAAACTGTAAATTGCATGTTATTACATTTGCAGAGCTTTTTCATCGTTGTTAATTAAATAGGATACTAGAGTATTTATTTATTGTGATTATGATTAATTAAGTGAGTAATTAATAATTTGTATTTGTCAGGATTTGTGGACTTATTCGGGTCAGTTTTGGCACAATTTAAATAAGTTTGTGGTCGATTGTTATACAATTCATAGGAAATAAAAAAAAGTTGTTCTGCAATTTCGTTTATTTTTGTTTTTCTCGGATATCATATCAGTTGTTTTTTCTCAGAAAAATCTATTGATATATATATAGCATTGATATATATATATAGCATGTATATACCACTTACCGGTTTATCCATCTGCATTTTATACTGGTAAATGAATCTAGGTCTGTGCGTCAAATCCATACACAGTAGTGGTATACTAACGACCCAATATGTTACAAAAGCCGCCAACCATGACCCTGACAAAGTAAAATTACACAAAACTGCTGTGGACAAATCTTCAAACAAATATTCTTATAGAATATGAATGAAAACAGGACACAATATCAAAACCTTGACATACCCAGTTTTTGATGTCCGGGATGTATAATTGCACTTCAATTCATACAGTGCTTGATAAATTGTGTATTCCATGTAATGTGGTGTCACATAGGTAGCCTCTCCAAAGCATACTTACCTAAGCAAAATATTATGACATCGCTTTTGCCAGATAGCTGATATATACTGTCCCATGTATCCACAAATAATCCGTAGCTAGACAGCGTGTTTTCCATCGTGTATACTGCGGCAACAGAAGGTAGTATATAACAGACCGGGCACTGCCGTCTAAACTGCGCATGAGGACTGTGTGATAATATACGTAAACACAGATCGTAGGTTTAACAAATTTTAAATATATATATATTAAACAATTTAGATTATAAGTCCTCGGCTACGAATAATGATTTCCAAAGCAGAGCATCTAAAGATCTAACCAGCATGGATATGATGGGATGGATGACGTCACAATGGGTGCCCGTGCATAGATGAGCATAAATAATGACGTCACAATGATTGAATATTAGTGTGATTAAATATTTCTTAACACCTCGAAAAATACGTACATACATGTAAATGTGCGGCGTGGTTAAATTAATTTTTCACGTCACGAGAAATACGAGTACATAAACGATTCGATTAAATACACAGAAGAGTGAAAAGTCAATAATTATACAGTAAACAGTGAACAATAAAAATAATTCATTCTATATATACATATGTTGTTCATTGTTTATATTTTTTCAATTATTTTTTTAATTGGATGTTTTAATTATTTTTTAATTGGACGAGCGTGGACGTCACGAAAGATTTTTCAGAATGTATCGTAGAGGGCACTCACACACATACGCTAATAAATCCAAGGCATTTTGAAAACTAACGGAGTTTATTGCACACAAGAGGTAAACGAGAATGAAATATTGACATGGAGTATACATTCATGGCGTGGTTGAGTTTTTTTTTTAACGCCACGAAAAAA